AGTTCCAGCTTCCATCATGTGATTCCAGGGGACAAGTCCAGTGCCTGCCATTGCTGAGAGGGCAAAGAAGAGACCAAGTTAAATCCTCCTCAGCATCCAGGACCATCAGCAGTTCTGAGTTTTCCATTTCTTCAGCCTTCACTCTCTGAACTTAGCTTGTCACCATAACTTTTTCCTTGTTTCTCACAGTTTTCCAGTAGTTCCATTGTCAGGTATTTAAAGAGTGCTTACCTCGTGTGCAGGCCCACCCTTCAGAGGATGTGCCATATGATATCTGTGCCATTTTGGTTCATGATCTGCTTCCTCAATAACTTCTCTCCTCCTAAGACTCCGTCCTCTGCAGCCGTCCTTTCCTTCTATTTCTCATTACTGTCCTGCATCCTTCTACATTTGAGTTGATATTACCTGAAGCTTATGCACAATTATGTATCTATCACAATGCGTCCAGAAGCGTAGGAGCCAGAACAAGCACTAATTTAAAAGCCAAGCACCATTTGTTTGTATATTCTGCCTTCAAACCATAAGTGCTTTTATTGGTCAGATGTCTTCTTGCTTCTAAGCAGGAAACACAGGAGTGAAATCAACAACAGCAACAAAAAATACGCTTCCAAACCTGTATCCAGGAGTTCACCAACTATTCTTACTGTATTGGGGAGGATTGAAGTGATAGTGGTGGTAGTGGTATTGATTCTAATAATGATTAAGCCTNTTAACTCTAATGGCAGTCTGTGAGTTGAGGCAGCCTTAATTCTTTTCACCCTCATTTTACAATTGAGGGACGGAGACACAAGGATTGAATAAGCACCGAGCTCACATGTTTAGTCATAGTTGGGCTGAAGTCAGGATCTGAACCTAGGTCTTTATGACTTTAAAGATTTGTTTTCTTTTAATCCATGAGTTAAAACAGTCTGTGTAAAGCTTTTAGAACAATGCTTATATAACAAGTCTTTATATAAGCAACCACATACATATTAATTGTTACTATTTCCCCTTGGTCACTTATTTGGTAATGTTAATTTTTCTTCTTTTCAGCGGGTAGTAGTGGCTTGAGGAGATCAAAGGCTTTACTCTAGAAACGCTGCTCTGAGTTAGGTCTATAATCAAGTAAATGAGATTGAATACAACAACATGTATAAAAGAATCAGGCAGATCTCTATTACCCTCTCTTCACCACTCCATTCTCTCTCCTATACATACATGCTATTCCTAAGCTAAATAAATTAGTCTTATAGAAAAATCAGCTTCATGGCAAAAATAGCTAATTTTATTCTGATATACTGGCTTATCATTTTGTAATATAGATTTCCACTTTATTTCAGTAATTCTAAAACTATGGGGACATAAGTCATGTTGAAATTATAGCTGATTTCATATTGCCTTTTCTTTGGAATCTTTAACAACATGAAATTATTTGTATCTGCTTAAAATGAGCTTTTAGTTTTAGTTTAAATAACATGAAATCATTTTCTCTTTATCTTAGAATAATCTCACAAGTTAGCGTGAACTTTCCCTTTGCAGACTCACCTTTTTAATGTGGTTCTCTCCCTCTCTCTGTCTCTCTTGTGTCTCCCTCTCTCTGTCTCTCCTTCTGTGTCTCTCCTTCCCTTTTTCTCTCTTTCCCTCTTTTCCCCCTCTCTCTGTCTCCCATGGACACCTGCTGAGCTACTTCCTACTGTGGACCCCAACTTGATCAGCTCCACCTAAGAGCTCTGTACTCACAAGCTGGCTTTGAAGAAGTATTGCTGACCAAATGGTCAGCACCTGTATGAAGTTCCATTATACTAACCCACTGTATGAAAATCTGAACTTGAAAATTGATGTGATTAGGCATGATTCCTCGTGTAACGCATGAGCCTCCACATGCTGGGAGGGGGTGTGATTGGACTGTTCTCTTGGGGCCCTCTGTTCTGGAAATAGCCCTACCTGAGTGGTCTACTCTTACCCAAGGTAGGACTCATAGGAATTCAATCTGCAAAATTTGAGATCAACCATGTAGCTCCCTGGGTTCGTGTGCAGAATAAATCTCTTCTCTTCCATAAGAGAATCTATTCCAACAAGCAGCTGACTTATCCATTAATATGTTTGATAAATTTGTCTAACTCTACCTGTGGTGACCCTCTCAATATTTCATTCGATTTGCCTTGTGTGTAATGTTGGTTTTAGCTGCACTGTATAGAGTTAGAATAAGATAACTTTCTTCTCCCCGCACACAGATATTTACTAATGACTCTTTTAAGGTGGGGGAGGGGAGGGGTGAGAGGAGGAGATTTATGTAAATCTGTGGCAGGGGTGGGACACGTGGATTGATTATGTATCTCCTAACTGCAGCCTCTACCTTAAAGTTTATTTAGACCTCTAGGGCTATACATCTTGAAAGTTCACCAGAGTGCTAGTACAGTAATGAATTTTTAAGTTTCTCCCATACTCCTGTCATATATCAAGCTATTTGTGCCTGGGTATAAAGACCAACCTGGTCGGCAATATGATATGCTTATTCTAGATGGTAGCCTCTTTAAACGTGCCTTACATGCTCACGTTTCCCAAGTGTAAAGTATATCACTGTGAGGGTTTAAATAACTATAACTCTAACTGAGTGAATTATATTATATTCTGATCTTCCTGTAAAATGGTAAGAGACGTTTTTTACTTTTCCTTGCATCTTAATATAAATTAC